TATATATATAATTTGCAATGAGAAAAAGAAATAATATTAATGTTGTGATTGTTTATTGGTAAGGTTGACTAACTAACAAACTAAGTACCCACGTCGTACATTATATTCAATATCATTAATTTATGGGTATAACAAGAAATAAATTAATACTTTTGGTAACTGATTCGGCATTAGCAAGAAGACGAGGCAAAACAAGCTGGGCTGGCTGCTGACTCACAGACTACTTATCAAATTGTAAAGGTGTTGGGAATAACAAGTGAAAGAAAGATGAACAAACTACTTAGAACCAGACAACAGTTCACTTTTATGTATATCTATGTATGTATATATAACAAGTGAAGTCTCATTTGAGCATTCATGCATGTATGTATAAATGTATATATGAATCATGCCTCATCTTTGCTTTGCTTTGGTTTTCAATACAACACACACTTTATAATGTCATGTGCCCTTCTACAAACTAAACCCCAACATACGTATACATATAGTATTTGCACTTTTTAATATTGCATAAAATAATATACTGAAAAAAATAAATAGCTGTGAAGATAAATCAAATCTCTCAAAAGAAAAAATAAATCCCAGTTAAGAGTTATGAGGAGGAAGGTGCTGCTATTTATTCTAGTTCTCTGAGTGAATAGAGAGATTAGCGAATAAAACAGCAGCTACACAAGAAACCTCCCTCCCTAAATTACACAACAAAATCCCTAACCACCCCACTCAGTTACCAAATAACTAGTCACGGCGGCCTTCATATCTTTGAATCATCACAACAACTTCTTCTACTAATTAACGAATCACTAACACACACACACACACACAACAACTCTCTCTCTCATCAAAAAATTCCGACTAGCTCTAGCTAAATCATCATCTATTTTAACCCTAACCTGCAAAAAAATAATTCCAAGAAAGAATGTCTAAAGTACCAAGGCAACTTTCTCATGGGATACGAGCGTTGAGCAATGTGCAATAAGCGGCTCATAATGATCCGCACCCGCACAGCACCATCCTGCAGCATGCGTTTGTCATAAAATAATTTCACACAACTGAAATCACTCAGTCACTAGTTCCTTTGATGAAGAGAAACTGAGAAAGAAGGAATTAGTACCTGTTCCTTTCATGAAGAGAAAGAAAGGAGGTTCGCATATTTCACTTCTTGGACGATGTGGTAAGAAGAAAACACAGTTTTCTTCATCAACCATTGCATCTGATCCATGTGCTTGAACCTGTCAGAGTCATGAAGAGTCAATCATCCGAACCAACATATACATATATATGTTTCATTCAAATGCAGAGAGATCGACAAGCACGCACCACAAATATTTCTCTTTTGAACTCAGTTGCAAGACACTCTATTGCAATATCATCACCAAAAGCAGCAGCCCTTCCATCTCTATTCTCGTCTACTGTTAATAGACCCTCCTCTGTATACTGCATATTTATTATGTCGTATTCATCCTCAGCTGAACCTGATATCGACATGTACTTTGCCCAACTCGCACCATCATCCACAGCTATGCATCTTTCTTTGTATATTGATTCTGCTGCTATTTCTCTTCACAAATCATTCACAAAACCCACTCATCATCAATAACCATTTCTTTGTATACTTCAAAAAATACACATTTCAAATGTTTTGCCTATTCTATTATCCTCAATTAATTTAGGGAGGGACCAGGCAAAACATATATAGACTTGCTGCAAACATTAAACTTATTGAAAAGCAGAGCAAGATGAAATAATAAGATTCTCCGTAAATCTACCAAGTTATCCAATGTATCAATTAAATTATTTGTACCAAAGAAACATAGAGAAAACACGAGATCTTCTTGCAGCAGATCTAGAGGATAAGGATCAAGATTTGAATAGGGAGGAGGATTGTGATGTTTTACCTCTGCATGCCGAGTTGAACGAGCTCATCAATGGCGGAATCCAAAGACTCACGATCTTGCTTCTTCGCCAAAAGCTTAACCTCCTGCACCACGTGTATACCCCAACCAGAGTTCAGATCCGGCGAGTACATATGCCTAATCGCGGATCCGATCAAATCCTTGGTCACCTCGTCTACAGATCCAAGATCCTCAGAAAACCTCCTCACAGTTCGGATCCTGAGGTCACGCGCCGCCGCGTCGACGCCCATGGACTTACGCGCCGCCGTGAAGAGGCAGTTACCGTCGGAGTCGACCTCGCCGCCGTGCATCAACCTGAAGACGATGTTGTTGTTCTTGTCTTGTGGGTGCTTCCAAAGAACACCCTTATTGTAAATCCGGGTCAAATGCCTCTTCTGCTGGTCCTCCAATCCGGGCACATTGTCCCATGAGGAGGCGGTGATTTCAAGGGGGTGCTTCGAGATAGGCCTCTGGTTAACCAGATCGGAAGATGGGATATCGGTAGGGTCACGCCAGGGAAGAATCACCGGAGACGACGCCGTCGAATCGCATATGAGCTTCCCCATTATTATTATTATTTTTTTTTTTCTGCCCCTTTGCTTAATTTGTCAGGGAAAAAAGAGACGTTGGAGAGATTAGGGTTAACGGATAGATTTTGATTCTTAGCGTAAGCCAGCCTGGACAACTACGGATGGGATCCCAGACATGTAACCGACACGTGTCTACGTATGATTGGTGACACGTTGTTAACGTTCCACGGAAAAGAAGGAACGGAATTATATTTGTTTAAATAAATAAAAAAATTAATGTTTTACAGTACCATATCTGTTGATGGTGTTGGTGATAGTGTATTGGGACAATGTTGTGTTGAGCTTTGTTACATACAACATAACAGGTGTCAGGTGGTTTATGGTTCACTCAACAAATATTGAGAGCACACATATAAGATGACATATGAGCTAGGTCCGAGATATGATCTTAATGGGCTTGGAAATTAATATCTTAAGGAGGGAGGAGCACTCCAGATTTCTTTTCTTTTTTTTCTTTTTCTTTTTTGGGTAATGGTGGAACCAAATATCTTAATGGGCTTGGAAATTAATATTCAGCCCTTTATATAGATCAGATATTCGATAATGGATCACAATCTTGGGCCCATCAAAGAAATAACTATGCCAACATAGATTCCAACCCAATTTTGAATATTTGACTTCAATATACAACCAGGGCCGGCCCTGGGGTGGGGCGAGCAGGGCCCACGCCCAGGGCCCAATTTCATAGGGGGCCCAAAATTTTAAATTTTTAATATATGTATTATGTATTTTTATGTGTAAAAATTATTTTATGGTTTAAAAAAAATTATTTTTCTACTTTTATCAAAAAAAAAATTTACTCTTTTATTCTTTTTTCTTTTTTATAAATTTATTTTAAAAATAAATGTGAATTTTTTTTATTCTTTTACTCTTTTTTACCCCCGAACTACTGAACATTTATACTCTCGCCCCGGGCCCCCGATTACGCCGGACCGGCCCTGTATACAACGTAACACCACCTCGTTTATACGTGGTGCCATACGTTTTAAGAAATTAAATATTAATTACATGAATGCTTCTATCACACTTTTTCTATAGTTAAGATCAGAATTAGGAGAGATCGGACAAGTATCTAATTACACGTTTAGTATATCTTTATATATATATATATATATATATATATATATATATATATATATATATAATGATGATGGATAGTGTTACATGGGTTAATTTATAATTGAAATTTTCTCACCGTACGGCCTAATTTACGCACTAAATCAGTCAGCCCACTCAACAATTCTTTACACAAACGTATGGGACCATCGTTATATCAAATGAACAACAACAATCACAAGTATGCAGCAGAAATCGAACAACACAAGCAATTTACGAGCAACGCTCAACCTTTATTGATTCACTCACAAACAATACAAGGAAAGCCCTTGGTGCACACAACGAATCCTCACAACAGATGCTAACAATTGCAATCCGAGTCCCTCTATCTGAATGGGTCGGATTTGTGCACTCAAGGGCCTATAAATACAAGGTACAATGCAGTTTACACACTAAACTGCCAAGGGACACATGGCGGCACGCAAGCCAGCCACTTGGCTCACTAATACAACATAAAGGACGGTTTTCTAAGTCATTGCTGATGCCAACCGCTCCACAACTGTCATCCGTAACTTCCCAAGTCAATTAGCTGCCCGGCTTGCCCAATCGGCGCGCGCGCGCGCCCAAGGATCGAATCTGCCCGCACACGTGCTATTCAGACCGCTTGTCTTGCCCACACTTTCCATGCATTTCTCGGCCAAGCACCTCAATGCTTGCCAATCACTCGAAACCCTTGCCTTGTAATTCTCGGCCAAGCACCTCAATACTTGCCCATCTCTCGGCCACCGTTTGGCCCATGTGTAGCATGCTTCGTGCCAATACTTCTTGGCACCACTTCAACTATAACTCGGCCACACTCGAGTTATAGTTGATGTCTCCGTCTAAGGGGGTAACAGACCTCCCCCACCAACGGTGTTCGACGCCCTCGTCGAACTGTTCACTCGCTTCAGATTCTCCCAATATTTGCCAACTCGTCTTTAAACTACCACAGATTCACTGCCTTCTCCCAAGTAGCATCGGCCACCTCTGAATTTCGCCAATGCATTAAAAATTCAGTCCGCCGGTTCTTCTTGCTTTGACCTTGGGTCTTGTGGTCCAGAATTTGCTGAATTTCTCTCTTAAATTCCTTTCGGACCACGGGTGGGGCTCTCTTCGTTTGCTTCCGACTTTCATCGAGTAAATCTTGGTTGAACTTCTTCAAAAAGCTCACATGAAACGTAGGATGCACTTTCAATCTGTCCGGCAACTTCAAACGATAGACAACTCAACCAACTTTTGACACCACTTCAAAAGGACCGTCATACTTTGGCACCAACCCACGGTGAACTGATTTGGAACTAATCTTCTTCCAAATTTGAGGCGTTAATTTCAGCAACACTTGATCACCAACTTGAAATTCCACGTCTCTTTGATGAGCATCAACATACTTCTTCATCCCCGCTTGTGCTTTCATCAAATAATCCTTTGCCTCGTCTAGCAATTCTTGTCTAGGACGAGCAAAGCGATATGCAGCAGGACACTTTCCTTCGGTTCGCTGCAAAGCCACCTCATGCGGCACCACTGGTTGCTGCCCGTACACCAACTCAAACGGACTCATCCCCGTAGCTGAAGACTTGTGAAGATTATAGCAGAATTGGGTTGTATCAAGCAAACCGACCCAATCCTTTTGGTTAGCGCTAACATAATGCCGAAGATAATCTTCCAACACGGCATTCATCCGATCCGTCTGTCCATCCGTTTGTGGATGATTTGCGGTAGAAAACTTCAACTCAGTCCCCAACATGTTGAAGAGCGCTGTCCAGAAACGGCCCATAAACCGGGTATCCCGATCGCTGATAATGTGTTCGGGAATACCAAAATACTTCACAACGTTCTTAAAAAATAACTCAGCAGCTACTTCAGCCGGACAAGCCATTGGTGCAGCAATAAAAATTCCATACTTTGAGAAACGGTCAACGATCATAAAGATAGAAGCGTTGCCGTTCACTTTCGGAAATCCCGACACAAAGTCCATCGAAACCGATTGCCAAGGCCTCTCCGGAATGGGCAGAGGCTGCAACAGACCGGCCTCCTTCTTCTTCTCGGTTTTGTCTAGTTGACAAACTAGACAAGTCTTGACGTATGCCTCAACGTCAAACTCTATCTTTAGCCAATAGTACGATCGTGCTAGAAGGGCCTACATTCTGTCAATTCCGGGATGCCCGGCCCACGTCGGATCATGTGTTTTCCGCAATAGTTCACGCCTAAGGGAGCTGCTTGGCACATAAGCACGACCACCCTTAGCGAACAACAACCCATCCTGTAGCCAATATTTCCGAATCTGCCCAGCCCGTACATGTTCAGCCATCTTTTGGTAGACCAAATCAGTCTTAGCTACCTCTCGAACTCGTTCAAGAAAATCAGACTCCACACGAGTCAATGCACCAACGTAGGATTCAACAACTTTCCTACTCAGTGCATCAGCCACGTCGTTATGCTTTCCCGATCGATGTACCCACTCGAAATCAAATTCACCCAAGAATTCTTGCCGTCTTGCTTGTTTCGGCGACAATTTCTTTTAAGTCTTGAAGTATGTGTTTGCCACATTGTCGGTGACAACCACAAACTTCGTACCCAACAAGTAATGCTTCCAAGCATCCAAACAATGCACCACTGCCGTCATTTCCTTCTCATGAGTATTGTACCGCATCTCAGCATCTTTCAGCTTTCTACTTTCAAAGGCAACGGGATGCTTGTCTTGCATCAACACACCCCCGATAGCACGGTCAAAAGCATCCGTTTGCAACTCAAACGGCTTGTCGAACTCTGGCAACTTCAGCACTGGTTCCGAAGATATAGCACCCTTCAATTTCTTAAACGAACCATCATAATCCGAAGTCCATTCCCACTTCTGATCCTTCTTCAAAAGATCGGTCAAAGGATTCACGATCTTTGAATACCCTTTGATAAACCTGCGATAGTAGTTTGCCAAACCCAAAAACGAACGCAACTCAGCCACTTTCGAAGGAGCGGGCCAATCACTCACAGCCCGTACATTCTTCATATCCATCTTGATCTTTCCTTGGCTAATAATGTGGCCAAGGAACGAGATTTCTCCCCAGCAGAAATCACACTTCTCCTTCTTGGCATACAGTTTGTACTCTCTCAACTTCAAGAATACAGCCCGCATATGCCCAACATGCTCGCCCAACGATTCAAAATAAACCACGATATCATCAAGATAAACCACCAAAAAACGATCGAGAAACTCGTACAACACATCATTCATGAGGTTGCAAAAAGTTGCGGGAGCATTGGTTAAGCCGAAAGGCATAACCAAGAACTCGTACGATCCATATCTCGTCACACAAGTTGTCTTTGCCTCATCACCTTGTGCCATACGAACTTGCCAATATCCAGCCCGAAGATCAATCTTTGTGTAAAACCGTGCCCTTGCCAACTTGTCGAAAAGATCCAGCCCATTAGGAATATGATACTTATTTTTGATAGTAACCTTATTCAATGTCCGATAGTCTACACACATCCTCATTGAACTGTCATGCTTCTTCTGGAACAGAACCGACTGTTAGAGTAGGTGACCAACAAGCCAACATGTGGCTGTGGTCTTTCATATTTATTATTGTAATAAACGAACCTTTATTCGTATTAATGATAAAACACATTGGCATTCTATATCTTTGTCCATTTGTCACAAGCATAGATATAGTCCTTACAGTTATTACAAGTACTAGTAATTGATCGTTAGGATCGTGAGATATCTACTTAAGTATTATAACTGTTAAACGTGTTCATAGTCGAAGGGTTACGCCACTAATGAGGATATCGGCCTTTCCCATTAAGAGACTAGCACTTAGTGTATGTGTACTCATGTCATCAGTAAACGGTATTGTGATATCGGCATCCATAAGTGGGTGCTCGTAAGTTGACGAGTTCACTGAACTCCCTCACCCTAGAAATCTCTAAGTGGTTCCCAATAATCGATAGAGATATCACTACAAGAAAATGTACTTCTGGCGAGGAAAAGATTCGTTACCATAAGTGCTATATTTGTCACTAAAACCTTTTGTAACGACAACATTCGTTACCTTTTTTTGTCCTCTAAAGCTCGACGCTAAAAGTTTGGGCGACAAATTTTTATGTTTCGTTACTATTGTATTGGTAACAAAAACAAATTTGGTTACAATATGTTGTTTATGGTAACAACCACTGTCCTCACCACTACTATCTCCTGTCGTTACAATACACAATTCGTTACAAAAAGTTGAATTTTAGAATATTATTTAATATATAATGATAATAACAATAGTCGTTACAAATACCTATTACGACAACTTTTGTCCTCACCAATACTCATTAGTGGTTTTTTTTTTGTATTATTATTATTATTATTATTATTATTATTATTATTATTATTATTATTATTATTATTCTAAATGCGTTACAAATACTGAATATGACAAAGAAATCCTCACGAATAGCCTTTTTTTAAATATTCTTTTAATATAAAGAATTCATTATAGCTTGTGGACCTATATTACATAATATGATATTGTAAGAACAATCTGAAAAGAAATACAAGAACAATCATTTATAATTAAAATATATATATACACAACCAAAACTATTTATAATGATTTCTATTGCAAAAGAATATTGTGAGTAACTAATGTACCTCCATATACATTCTTCAAAACTAAAATACATAATGTTTCTAAAACGAGGATTGTTTGATCCAAGTACAAGCTAATGTTTGCAACACATCATATTGCACAATTCACCATTGTATGTACTCCTAAGACCTGCATACACACACAAGTGTAACTAAAAATTTATTACATGAAGAATGCAACACCATTAATAAGTAATACTTCCTAGTATGCACATAATTCATCTGAGCATTTACAACACTAGTTGGCAATGCTCATAAAAATGACAGTTTTAAATCATAGCCGATGGATACTTCACTCATAATGAGACATGTTAAATGAAATGGATGAGACATGGCACCTAGAACATAAGATTGGATAGCCGATGGATACTTCACTCATAATGAGACATGTTAAATGAAATGGATGAGACATGGCACCTAGAACATAAGATTGGTGATGTTTAAAATCTTACACTAATCAGCCGACATAACTATTTCTCAACACCCATAACCAATTTCAACAGAAAACGGCAACACGTGATCAGAAAATCGAGTTCAATAGTATATTTCAGAACTTCAAATTAAATAACCCCATATATATACATAATGCATCGTCTTTCAAAGCATTGTGATATTGCCTATTTTTTTATAGCTTATGTAATCTCATTCTGCTAACCACACATGTAATCTCATTCTGCTCAGCTCTAAGGCATAATATTCGAAATACTTGTCTATCATAAGATAATCATTAAAACAAACCAGAGTTGGACAACTAAAATAAGTAACTAAAAAAAAACCTAACCTTGAGGAATATTTATCTGTGATAGAGGTTGAGTTAAGAGAACATTCATAGAACCAGGCGAGGTTGAATATTTTCCCTCTTCAACTATAGCTTAGGCCTTCATTCCTGCATACCAACACTACACCAAAAAAGAGTGGGGAAAGAGGCGTTGTAAAGAATAATAAAAACAAAAGATAAAGAATATTGTATTATTCTAGTTTTTTGTGTTAAAAGTAATTTTAATTTATTTTTAATAATTTAAATTTCGTTACATATATAACTAACGGTTTCTAAATGTTACAAAAAATTCTTGAATTATTATAATTCAATAGAGCTAACTTCATATTAATAGTAACGGTTAACTTAAATTTCCAACGGACATAATCCGTTAGTATTGTCTAACGGATATATCCGTTACAAATTATAAATTTATACTGTTAGAAAATGCTCAATATGGTGTAGTGCAAATGAAGACTGCATTTTAACATCTCAAACGTGAACTTAAAAGTAGAGAAAATATATTTAACTAGAAACCTAGAAATCGAAGCCGTGGGTTAATAGCATCCGAAGCTCCAAATACTTTGGCAGTTGTTTCCTAAAAATTACAAATAAACGTAATAAGTATTTAAAACGTCAAAGCAAGCATGCAAGATGAGTCATTCAGAAGACGAACCAATTACACAGTCAAACATTTGTAGAATTTTTGCCCCCATCACCTCAAGTTCAAGAACCATGGTCAAATATCTCTGTTTAACCTCAATTTAAAAAAACTAAAAACTTCTACATACTTAGATTAAATTCATAAAAAGATATATGTTGCTCTTCAGAACATCCAAAGATCAAATTCTAGTCTTTGGTCCCTTAAATATTTAGGTATTTGAAAAAAATGTATCACTGGAAATTTCTCCATTGATTCCCCACCAGGTAACCTCAAGTTCTTGGTACTCGTCGCACTAAGAATAAACATATCTCCGGATTAAGAAAATTCGTATAAACATAATATCAATTGTATTGCTGGATTAATATCAATCTAGCTAGCTCTGAATACTAAGCATATAAACATAATACCAAAAAGTTCTCATTATCTTTTTACTTTTCACCCTCTTGTAATTACTCGAAATATTTTTTTCTTAATCACCTTATTTAAAACATTTCAAGTATTTGCCTATTATCAATAAATTATAGTTAATCCAAAACCTCACTGTTTCACAGGCTCCACTCACTAAGTTCTAAGTTCTAACTGACCATTTTTATACGATATTTTCAGCACTGGGCCATTAGAATCCAGTAACAAATAAATTTGACAATTTGATAAAATATATCCTTCTTAATGCAAAATCTGAAATAGTAAATCTAACATAATACAATATACATAGTATGTAATAAGAACCTACTGAATTTGGTCTCCCGAGTATTCTTAATATCAATCTAATAGAATCTATATTAAATATTAATGATTAGTGTCACTAATCTTGAAGCAAGGTTGCAAAAAGGTAACCTAATTTCTACTTAAACGAAAACAAAAATAAAAATTCTCCGCTACAAAGCATTTAAATTCAAGTTTTACCTTAAATCGCAGCTTTCGATTCGCCTAATCGTTGTTATATCTGCCATCGCCTTTGGAGAAATCAAATATTATTGAGATAATGTTGTGAAGAGGTGTGCGGTGGTGGGACTGGGAAGAGTTATGGTGTGTGCGGTGGTGGGAATTGAAAATCGCAGATTTGCCCTTGTTCAAGGGTTATGGTGTGCGGTGAGAAATAAAAACCCTAGCTAGCTTTGTCTCTTTATTTTCTTTGTGCAGCTTGAGTAATCTTGTGAAATAAAGGGGAAAAAAATGGCGCTATTTTTACCGCCCAGCACTTGTTGGGAAAATTGGTTAAAAATTGAGTCATGAACAATTTTTTATCAATGTTATTGTACGGTCTAATTGAGTATATAAATGAATTTTGGATTATAACCAATTTTGTGGTGAATGAAAAAATTACTAGTCCAAAATATAAGGAAAGTGGGATTTGAGTTATCCCACATTGGAAAAGTAGAGAAGTACTGAGCTGTATATATATCAAAATATTGGGACGGGCCAAAAACATTAGGTCATGGGTTTTTAACCCATTGGGCCCTTATTACTCGAAGCCCATCTCGATTGGTCTGATTGGTCTGAATTGGTGCGGCCGAACCAATGCAAACCTTTCGGCTCAACTCGAAATGGTGCAACCACTCCCAATTGGCTCAACTCGAAATGGTGCAACCATTCAAAACAAAAGGTACCTTTTTTGCTCCAAAGGACACTACTTTTCGAACCTTATAAATAGACCTTAACTTTCCCAAAATTCCTTACTTCAATCCAAAAACAAGCCTACTATATATTAAGCCTACCATTCACAGATTCTCTCGAAAAGTTCTACACAAAGTACAGTTCGTCGTACTTGGGATTTGGAGTGCTCCTATTCCAAGTTTAGCCGTTGTATCTTGGGAGACGATTTCCATTTAATCCGTTAGCACCGTTGCGGGGAAATTTCGTCTTAAGGACAGAGTCAACTCGCCTCGGCTAATCTTTCCGTATTTTCACTAATTAATTTGTTCAACCAATTTACTAAATTCACTACCCGTTTTATGTATCGGGACCAACAATCTTAAGACGAAATGTTTTTTGATTTAGTAAATTGTGTTTTCTGCACACGTTGGTAAACGAGATGGAGAAGAAGATAGTCTGCCAAAAATCAAGAAGTTACAAAATACAATTGGAGAAAGTTTATTTTCGGACAGAACATGAAATCCACATTCTTGCCCATTTTCGAAGGTGTTAAAGTCCGAATATGGCAAATTAACATTTCACAAAAGTTGTAGATAATCAAGTTAGCTTTCCAGAACATGTTAAATCGTCACAATCGGAGATCGTACGAGGAAGTTATGATGAAAACACGAAAGGGTGGCAGAACTGCCAATGCACCTTTTCATAAGAAATTACAACCGTTCGTGACCAATGCAACTCGTCGCATATTAACGCATCACCAATGTCCAATGCACGAAATTTTGATGAAAGAAGACTGAATCGAAGATCAATAATGAGGTTTTATATTATTTTTGATTCATGAATATTATTTAATATTTTTTTTTCTGGTTCCATTGTAGGTGCAAATTTACAGCACACCTATTCCGACTTCGTGGCTTATTTTGATCATGATCCAATCCGAATCTCAGAAAACGTAAAACATAAAAGTTGTAGATAATTTTGTTGGCTGTTCGGATCATATTGAATCAACAAAATCGGACTTGGGACGGAAGAGATATGAATAAATCATTCAGCACTGCCATAATATTGACACGATTTGGTGCTACCCACAAAATCTTGAATTGACGAACATATAATTTATCGGGTACGTTTTTTAAGTATAAGATATCTATTTGTGAAATATATTGATAATGCTATATGATATAATGGTGGATTATTGGATGATAGTGCATGGTAAACCATGTACAATATATATGCTTAATGAATATTCATGATGTTTGTGTATGTACATTAATAATAGAAATATTTTTATCCTAAATAAAATAAAGTGATAGCGTATGTGCTAATTATTTGAATAATTTTATCATAAACCGCATGATAAGTGCTATACTAATGACATTTCTCATGAAAATGCAATATTTATTTGCATAAATTGCTTATAGTTTGATATGGGATTAACTTTCTCCCAATTTGATGTGGAACTGTCCGGTTGATTGATTTTCGAATATGTGAGTACGTGATCTTATTAACGTTTTTATTATTGTCATGATCGATTAGACTTGTCTCGTATATTAAGTATGAGTTACTTACTAAGAGGAATATTATTATAAATATTATTATTTGCGTAAGCCATACTAATTCCTTAGAATTGTGTTATTGCATGGACATGCATTGATTACGTGCTATAGAATTTTTATCAATTCATTATGTTGGACATGAATTTATTTATGCCATGAAATATTATTTTCAAATTTGATGCTATTATATACTAGTGTGTATACTATGTATATGTTGATATAATATGCTTGATATATTGTTTCTTTCTATGATCAACTAGTATGAAAGACGTGCTCACATATTATGTTTATTATAATATTGATGTACATATGAATCATATAATTAAAAGCATGATTTGAAATAAAATTGAAAGAAAGAGAAGCTCAATTCATGATAACACATGAGTAGTTCTTGTCTCAAGAACATAAAAGAAGATCGAATCGTTGGTTTGATTTGATTTGATATCACATTTGCAAAATAATGATCTACAATGTGAATGGATGAGATCGGATTTTGATTTTTCAAAGATCCGAAATAGTTGTTAACAACAATGGATGTTTTGTTGAAATAAAATTCGAGCAGTTTACTTAAGAGCTCGTTTTGTAGAATTAAATCGTTGGATTTGACTGAATTTTGAACAGCATGTTTAGGACATGCAATCCTAAATTATGAATGATTAAGATTATAATTTATATATTCTAACTTTAATGTTGAATAGTGGAGATCAACCACCATTTGAAGAGATTAATATTCTCTTGTTTATTGACAAGATTTAAGTATCTTGACGAGTTTCTCTTTTGAGGAAAAAGAAGAAATCTTATTATCTTAATTGTTGACAAGATTTAAGTATCTTGAGAAGATTTTCTTGTTGTGCTTTCTTGAGAGAAAGAAAAACAATACTTTGTAATTAAATCTTATTGGTGATCCAAAATATTTTTCTAACTAAAGAAGAAATGTATTTTGTTACATTGTATCCTTATTAATAAAATAAAAATAAGGATTTCAAAGCATTTAAATGTTATGTGAATGAAAGTTGGAAAGTGCCAACTTTGACAAATGAATGAAAAATGAGAACCAAAACTTTTGGAAAAAGTTTATGGATATTATATTGATAAATTCTAGAATATATACTCTAGAATTTGTGGGGGAAATTAGATATCTCGAGCTAACCACATTAATATTTAGAAATGTGGGGGTCTTTATCCCGAGCTAACCACATAAATATTTAGAAATGTGGGGGTGTTTAGGCAAAGGTAAAAAAGTACCTAAGTTAATATACAATGCCTAGTATAGTTAAGTGGATAAAATACTTAAGCATATTCATTGAATATGCAAATAATGATTGTGCATAAGATAGTCATTCTTGATGCAAATTACATTATATTTTTCTTGTAAAATAAGAAAATAAATAAGTTCTAAATAAGAGAACTAATAAATGTCTAAGTGGTAAATCATCAAAGTGATGAATAACCAAGTTAAAATATGTGTGTTTGGTAAATCATCATCATCAAAGTGATGAACAACCAAGATACAACAAGATGACAAAGAAAATCAATATGTTTGATTTTGATTTGATTTTATAATTTATGAGTTATAAAATGAACAAAGGACAATTATTGAAATATTGTCTACATTGGAAGAATGTACGTGGAAGTTAGTTTGTCTTCTTCCAAGTAGTAAACCATTAAGGTTTCGATGGACTATTCAAATGAACGATTAAGGGTGGTCCAATAAAGCTAAATTAAATAGCTATGGAAAAATCTTGATTATTTATAACATTGTAATATCAAGCTAAATTAAATAGCTATGGAAATATTCTAAAGTAATATTTGATAAAATTGTGTTAGTAATAACGAGTGTGGCCAGTGTGTTTATATTAAAAGCACATGGAAGTATATGTCTATAGACGACATTATAATCATGAGATAGTGATCATGATACTATTTTGAACGTTGAGAAAATATTGGAAAAGTAAAAATAAAATTTTTGATGTCAAAAGACGAGGGTCTAGAGGATGTAATCTTATAGATTAAAATCACTAAGACAAAGATAGTCTTATTGAAAGTCTCATGTTGAGACACTACTAGAAAATTGATCTAGTTATCTAAAGACCAAGGGTTTACCTTGCCAAAAATAATGATGAAGAATGGTTCAATTACAAATATTTTTGGATAGTTTGGCAGCATAATGAATTGCAAACTAGTAAATATGTAATTCCAAAATAAATAATCATTCAATGATATTATAAGGGTTCTTAGGTAATCTAAGTATCGTCTTTAAATGGATTACATTAAAGAAAATATCCAATTGTATTAGGAAGGAACATTGGATGTATGAGTCCACTAAGATTATGTATCTTGGAAATCCTCAAACAAAATTGAATAGCTCGATTCATGGTCGAATTCGAATGTATAACTTGAGATAAGGTTAGAAAAGAAGTTGAATAAACTTCATAAAATTATTGGAGGATGTTCCGTGTTGGACTAAGTCGGTGTCTACAATTATGAATAAATTGTGATAACCAATCGGTTACGTTAAGGGCACAAACGACATGTATAATGGCAAGTATCGATACACTCGTACACATAAGACCATTAGGCAATTGATCTCAAAGGAAATAATATAACATTGATTATGAAAATCAATGGTTAATAGCGGATCCGCGACTAAAAGTCAACTAAAGAGATCAAACATATTGCCTGTCTAGGGGAGTGAGATTAAAACCCATAAATTAAGGACAATCTTGGTGGTAACCCAACCATGCTGACTGGAGATCCCAAGAACTGGTTCAAAAGGGACAACTAAGCTAAGAAAGTTCAGTGATGCACTAAGGAGTGTATATTCCTATGGAATAATATATTTCCAACTCATTCCCGTGATAGACATTAGTGCTGCCTGCAGAGAGGGTAAAGGATAAGGGAAAGCTTTTAATGATTCCAAAACCTTATAACAAAAGGTGAGGTATTGGCAGGATACCTTTAATAGGAGATCACCTATGTAAGTGTATGAAGTGAGG